TTTTTCATCCAATAAATTGCTTTAGTTACAAAATGTCTTAATCTTTTTCTTTTCATAGTACCATGATATATCTCAGCAATGCATTGGTATTTTATAGACGTTATATGTCTAAAGATGTCTTTAATTCTTAAATTGTGTTGGTCTTTTAGGATTTATCTTCTTAGCTAACTGTAATAAAATTGTGTCTCTTCATAATAGCAATTTTCATAACTTTTGATTGTCCTTTTTATATTACCAAAAATTGCACCCGTCACAAAAAAATCAACCGCATGCAAATCAATCAATTGATACATTATTTATGCACACACATTTAAGTTAAATTCCAGAAAACATGAGCAGAATATTTAACAACTTAGAATCTGTCAACATATATGCAGAATCTATTTAAGCAGATCAGATCAAAAGTCAAATTTATTTCTTGTTAGCAATCCCATGATCGTATTGTTTAATAAAAAGTTAAGTATAATTTTGGTTATTGTGTGTGGTTACTTTTGTTGTATTATGGGACACATACAATCTTTTATTTCACTTGGTCCTTCCTCTTCGTTTCTCTAATCCTCCAAAGTCATTAAAGAACCATTGATCAAACTCACCGTATTGGCTCCAGTGGTCACTAATAGTGTGGTGGTTGACTTCGGTTCAGAAATAAGTATAATCTTCATATGAGGGTGAGAGCGATCAGAATTAAGTTTTCATGTTTTAGAAAAAGTTTCATATCTAGGCTAACCGATCATCACCTTCCGGGACGCTGACGGTGACCCTCCTGCAGCGTTGACTCGGCCGCGTTTTTGAAAACTTGTTCCCATAACTAAAAATGTAATGGGTAAAAATAACAATGGCAAAGGAAAACGATAAAAAAAAAATATAAATTGTTAAGAAATTTTATTAAGGGTTGCGTCATTTGGTGTTTCAAAAAGAAAGATTGTGTTCTTTGAGAAGTAGATGATTCAAAACTGACGCATTAGGAGACACGCCGTTTAGATTATAAACTGATGATCTCATACCTATAAACCAAACTAAAACTTGACCATTAGATTGCCAAAGGAAACAATCTCTACTTTTATATTTAAGCTTTATTTTCCTATAAAAAAATGATGACATCAACAAAGATAAGAAATAGGTTTGCTATATATGCATTGAACATGTGTGTGTCTACCAAAAATCTAATGGCGCCAATAAAAGAGAGTTAAAACCAATAGTTTCCGCGTGTATTTATATGGGTATCATTAGAAAAAAAAATTAATTTGAATATCAAGTTTCTGTAGTTTGTTTTTGTAATGTTTATCAGCAGAATCAACTTAATAAACATTACATTTTGTAGGATTGATTGGTTTGCGTGATATGTTGTGTCACAACAATAAAAGGAGAGCCTTAAAAAGGATAAAGTAATCTTCAAATCTCTTTTCCCAAGTTTCTACTTGTCAATACATGAAGCTCATAAATAATCTAGCATTATTCATAAACCAGAATCATACTTTATTAGTGACTGCAAAATTATTTTTAGGTTGAACAATGAAGGCAAAGAATAAAGAAAATTTTCTAAGAAACACTGTTGATGTTTATAATCTATATATAACATTCTCAAAAGGTACATCCTTAAGTTTTTATAAGAGTCATGTTGTTTGAGAGACATCTTTTTACTTAAGAGTTGCAAGAAAAATAATTTTGTTATAAGAAGCAAAAAAAAATTAGAAAAACATTAGATGGAAAATTAATAAAATTAGGACTTTCAAAAAAAAAAAAATTCAAAAATACAGGAATTAAACATATAATGAAGGGTCATGTTGTTTGAAAACATCTCTTTACAGAAGCATTGCAACAAACATAAGTCGGTTATAAAGAAAAAACATATTAGAACCATTAGATGGAAAATAAAAAAAATAAGGACAATTATGTTAATAACTCTTCACACATAATGAAGGGTCATGTTGTTTGCAAGACATCTCTTTACAAAAGAGTTGAAACATACATAAGTCGGTTATAAATTAATAAACATATTAGAACTATTAGATAAAAAATAAAAAATTAGGACCATCAAATGAAAAACACAACAATTAAACATATAATGAAAGGATGTGTTAGATTAATAAATAACTTAATTATGTTTCTTACTAATAAAGAGATGTGTTCTTTTAAGAGATGAAAAGTTATGATTGAGGGTGTTTTACATCCATTATATCATAAATACAAAAGAATTCTAACCATTGGATTGATTTTTTTCTATAAAAAAAAGAATGATGCATAAGTGAACAGAAAAAGGTTTGCTATTATATATAGATTAAATTAAATATATTTAACATAAACAAAATATCTAGATTAAATGTCCTAAACCATATAGACATCAAACCAACAAACCGGCAACACTATATATACTATCACCGGTTCAAAATTCAGATCTTGGATATGAAATCTAATTGCGTGAAACATTATTATTAACTTCATATATTCATTTTGCACAGAATTATATTTCCTTTCTTAGTGTAAAAATCCATGAAGTCACAACTCTTAAGTGGGGATTATTGGTTCTAGTATTTATAGATTCAGAAATCCTTCTTAGATTTTGAAGTTTTTGACAAATCCACACATTTTAGAATCAAATAAGTAGATTTTAGAATCAATGAAATAGATTTTAAAATCAAAATAATTGAATTCTTATAAATCTGTCAAATGGATTTGTGATAAGCTTAAATTTGTAACAAAATAATATATATATATAAAACTACAACATATGTTTTATCATTTTCTATATCATATGTTATTATGGTAACATAAAATTCATCATATATTTGTTGTTATTGCCATTTTCACTTGATTGACATGTTTTCTTTGTTGATCTTCAGTTCCAAGAATTTCTTTACCCTTGTTATTAACTTCCTTAAAATCTTCGTCATCGGAAATTTTTTATTCAGAAAAATTATCGGTTCGTTAGAACTTTCGAAGAAACCTACGTAAACCAGCCCACACAAATATTCTATTCGTTTGTATCTTGTAAGGAAAAGGGGATGCACATTTAAAAATTAAAAATTGAGATTTATATATACCAAAAATTCTTTCGATAACATTCTTCAGAAAAACATGATGATGGTTAAACAACTCTTTTCATTTTATGGAATAGAATCTCCAGAAAACTCGTGTAGACCAAAATTTTTATGAGAAATTTTTTTGGTAAATTTTTATATTAACATCTGCGTATACGTAAAGCTAGGCTAGAGATAGTTGGTTAATACAATTATATGTTGTACTACTACGTACACGTTAAGATAACATAGAGATGGTGAAACATGATGGTTGTCTGAGACTCTCATATCAGTATTTTCTTATAGTTATTAGGGAAACATAGACAATATGTACGTAAAAATTGGACCAGAAATCCACTCAAATCTAATTTTAAATCAAATCCTTAAGTAAATCATTATTATTGAATTAACACCTGATTTTAAAATCTTTTTTAAAATCATAGAACCAATAACAGTGAATTTGATTATAGATTTTAAAATCATAGAAACAATAACAATGAATTTGAATATAGATTTTAAAATCATAGAACCAATAACACTATATTTGATTTGTATTTTCAAATCCACTAAAATATATAAACCAGTAACATCCTTTAATGGTGACTTTTCACAGTATTACGGCAGAAACCGACACCGAAACTATACGTGTTTGTACACATGTTAAATAAAATTTCAGAAAACAACCTTTTCAAAAAAAGTTCCAGAAAATGACATACTTTTTGCATGAATGACATTGATCACTTAATAAAAGAACATAGTTGGGTTATATCTACGAACCTTCCCACCAATCAACACAAACCAGTTATTTAATTCCTTTTAAAGATTTTGATAGTGGTGATATAGAGTACCGTAATCATTTCTGGAATCATAATCTAAGCATCCTTTCAAACAAATCACTTTACACAAACTTCATGAACGCACCCCTTACGTTGTTAAATTGACTTTTAATTTCTTTCAGATATGTACTGTATGTGATTTTTCTTAAATCCCATTTTTAATTGTGAGTTTCTACCAAAAAATCTAACCGCATGCATGCGATCACATTGCCAACGTAACGTACGGTTATGAATCGCACTTTAACTATATATTTTCAAGCCGCTATTGTTTCTGCTATGGCTTCTCTTAATCACTTAATGATATGTAAACACAGTACAATCATTTTCCCAGACTGTCTTTTCGTTAAGAAAAATAGTGACTGACACATATTATTAAACAGTCGTGTTCGTTCTCAGACTTGATCGAATGTTCTATAATGATATGACGTTTACTATGCCGTCCAACTTACGAGAACTTACGTCTACTATAATGTGACGGTGACTTCGCCAGAAGAGTGAAGAAACGGGCGAGGGATATGAGAAATGGAGAGGAAGATGATGAGGCGAGACTACGTTGAAACGGCCGAGGGATATGAGAAATGGAGACGAAGATGATGAGGCGGAGACTACACAAAAGACGAATCCGCAGAAGACAAAATCGTAAGGGCGGAGGGATCGGAGTGTCGTTTAAAATTGTTTTTTACCTTTTCAAACTGGAACTTGTTTGCTATATATAGAGACCAAAGGTTATGTACAAGAGACATGACTCTTAATTTAAGAGACATGACTTTTAATCTAAGGGACATGACTATTCTCTTAACAAATACAACCCTTCATCTGTAACTAATTTAACACAAATAAACATTACTAATGTGATGGTCAATTATAGATCTTTTCAAGGGGTGCAATGGTTTAATTGTCGGAAGGTGGTCATTCGGGAGACAAAAGGTGTTGGTTCGGGAACACAAAACAAGTCTTTTACTTATATATAACATGACATCATTTTTTTAAAGGATAACAAATCATGTTCGTTAGATTGAAAAATGAATCAAACTCAACCGTCAGATCTAAATTTTATTTTCCTATAAAAAATTGATGATGTCATAGATGAACAAAAACAGGTTTGCTATTATATATAGATTATAATGAGATATGATTTTAATTACAGCTATCGAGTAGAGCTTTTGGTCGCTGATATGACTGCTGAAGGTGTTTTTGTCTGTTTTGACGGTGTCATGACCAAGATGCATAAGCTTGAAGCACATGAGGCTGGTCAGCTGCTGGTGAGTTTTGGTTGTAACCGTTATTACGATCACCCTCTACCCTTTACTACCACTATAACTTTGGCTTTCTTAGGTATACAGTGGTGTGAACCCTGAAGACTCTCCAATGCCTCTGGTTATAACATGCATGAAAGGAAAAATCTACGCTTTCCATGTTAGTCTGTCTACAAAAAAATTCACAGAAAACCGTCAGGCCTTCACTATCACACGCATACTTGGCGAGCATGAACGTCTGCCGTCTTTGGACCCCGGCGCCAATGTAAGTCTACTGAAATTAGTTTCTTCCATTATTTGACACAACTGAAACCTTTTGTTTATTGTCTGCTCATAACTTTCATTCTTATCAGGGAAAAGGTACTTCCGATGCTACTACCATCATTGCAGTTTATACCGCAATACTTCCCCAACCCGAGTCTGGTTGGAGCAGTGTTGATAGGGGATTCATTTCAGAGCTTGAGTTTATTGGTGATGTTCCGATCAACACCGCTGAGACAGCTTCAGAAGTTGCAAAGGGCAAGCCTATGTCCTTAGATTAAGAAGATATGTCCCTTAGAACATACCAAAGCATCGTGTTCTTGCTATTTTCCACTTTATGTTTTCCATACTTTAAGTCTTTGTTTTACTGCTTTCCATTTTAGGCTTCCACTGGATACATAGTTGGTAATTTTCCTTTTAATGATGGTTACTTCTTTGCCATTTAAATTTATAACAGTTTATGGACAAAGAAAAATTCGTATCTAGAAAAATTCACAACAAACATATTACTGATAAAAGAAACACAAAATATATTAATTTATTGACTATTACTATATACCACTTGGACAACACCTACAAAATCTGCTTTGTTTATGGGAGATGTTTTTAAATTCACTTTCTCTTGCAAAACTTAACATAAACCACAGACAATTAATATATAATAATATAGGCATATACCTCACACATAAATTACAGTTTCTTTTTCATATTTCCTACATTATTAATAAATTTCTTGGAATCTTATATAACACCAACACTAAAAATCCAGACTTCATAGTTATATAATTAAAATTCATGTAGATAACGCTATCATATTGAAATCCAACTTAACAAAATCTTATAAATTTGTTACATATTTTATTAAAAAAATAAAACTATTCATATCATCTACCGCGTCATTCAATTCCGCGCGTAGCACGGACCGGCCCTAGTTATATATATATTATTCATCTGTCTTATTAAAACATAAGCAAATTTTTAAGTTGAACGTAATATTATTAATCTATAGTCTACTAACGATATAAGATTATTGTTACTCTACTCTAATCTTTACACGGTTAATTATAGTTCGATGTTGTTTAGGAAGTCAGTGCTGATTCGTATCTTATAATGATTTGGAACATTAATTTAAAACACCTTCTTATTTGTTATGAAAATCCTCAGTATATTCTTCTTCTTTTAAATCAGAAAATCCCGGTTAAATTTAAACCTCTTGATTAGCTATTAATCATAAAACATAATATCGATAGATATTAACAATCCTTTATGGAATTATCCCTTCTCCAAGTCAACCTATTTTACCTAAAATCTCGCTTATCTACTAAATCTCTTGGTTTGATATTAATTATAGAATAATAATTAGTTTCATGAATTGTTGGAGAGTATATTTTCTTCATGCGAAAACCTAAACTGTGATGAGTATATATAGATATTCTCATATCAAACATTCGACATTCACTATCACGAGAAGAAAATGACAAAACGAAACACTTTTGTATTCCTTAACTGTGTTAAACCTTAAAGGGAGAATTGGCAAATTCGCGTAAAGGTTCTTCATTATTGGAAACAAAACACGAGTTATGGAGACGACACATTAGAGTTGGTCCTCGCTGATGAAAATGTAAGTAACAAAAGTTTTATTGTTTTTATAATTCTCATTTTCTAATCAATATCTTATTCAACATTTCTTTGTTTTCTAGGGTGTTAAGATTGCAGCATTTTGTAAAAGGAATCAAATCTATCGACTAAAGCGAGATTTGCCTGTTGGGGAGTGGAAAACTATCAACACTTTTTCTGTTTCAGAAGCAAAAGGAAATTATCGCCCAACAATTCATCAATACAAGTTGACTTTCGGTAGTGAAACAGTGGTATCATATTGTGATAATCTGTGTGGTAATCATTTCGTTTCTCTTTCAAGTTACGATGATTTAAGGAATATCGATCAACATAAGTTTTTTGGCTTAAAAGTATGCAGCCATAATCATATAGTTTATTTACAACATAAATGATAAATACTCTGAAAACATTCTCTGATATTTTGTCATAATAAATTATTTATTGTTTTTACATACAAATATTATTGGACAAGTTGTAGATCTAGCTGAAATTCAAACTGTTCTAGTTATGGGGAAGGACATGAAAAAAGCTCAATTTCTTTTACGTGACTTCAAGTAAAATACATTGATTTTTATAGAAATCTGTTCTTCTTCTGTATTCTTTGATATGTATATATATAGTTATTAACAAATATGGATATTTATTTGCTTTTGAAATTGGCAAAAATACAGTGGTGATGAAGTTGCGAGTTGCTTGTGGGGCAATATGGGGATCAAGTTGAGACGCATTTTGTTGATTCAAATAATGAAATGGTTATTTGCTTGATACGGTTTGCCAAGATCGGTTGGTATAGAGGTATAGCTTCTTTTCTTATTCCTAATTTATGTATTATTGAATGGTTTTATTGAGTCATTAATTTTGATCTCTATATAGGTGAAGTACAAGTCATCAATGCTTTTGATTCTTCAATCGTGGATATCAACCCAAAGTTCGAAGAGGCTATTGAATTTACAAAACAGTAAGTTGATTTTCTGAAAAAATTTTGGTTGTGAAATATTTTCCAGAATATATCTAAATTTAAATAAATTGTTATGATAATTTGTAGGATGTTGGCCATTGATCTACCTCTTGCTCTTACAACATAAGTTCTTCATAAGATAGATGCAGGTTGAAAGTTGCAAAATCATTTGTTCAATTGAATCAGTTGATACAGATTGGGGTTGGTTCTACTTTGATTGTAATAGACATAACCGGCGAGTTACCAAACAAGGGTCGAAAGTGAAGAATGTTGATAGTGTTGGGTTCCTTCTAGATGGAGGAAACCCATTGGGTTTGGTTGGTGATAACCAAACTTGGATGTTGGGCCAATGATATTTATCCATGAGATTAGTATTGGGCCTTGGGGTTAGTGAGACACTATATAAAGTCTCTTAACCTAATTTTGTGGTAAGACTTTTAGAGATACACAAGAAGAAAGAAAGGAGGCAAAAGAGAGAAAAGAGAGAAGAGACAGATTTTCATCTAGGTTTGTCAAGACAGATTTGGAGGGTCAAACGGATTCCTTTTGAGCTGATATTTTGTGGGAAGCTTCTTCAGTCAGTGGGTTAAAGGTTCACCGAAGGGATTTGGATTTCAACGGTTGGATCTTCTGTTGTCTGGGTTTTCTTGAAGCTGGTCGTCACAGTTCTTCAGCAGTGCTGTCTTGAGTGTTTTGTAAATCCGACGGTGAGATCTTCTCTGTTTGAGCTAAAATTTGGCAGAGGTATTGTTGACTTGTTTATCTTGGATTTGTACGGTGGGATTAGTCTCTGGTTGCCGGAATCCTTGTGAGCTGAGGTCGTTTGGTTGCTGCCGGTTTTGAAGCTTTGGTGTTACTCTCTTGTTGTTGTTCTTGTGTTGGAGATAGCTCTTTGTAGCTAGAGTCTCTGTTCTGTTCAGGTTGTTGAACAGGGAGGACGTGATTGTACTCACATACATTTATATAGTGGATTGTTGAGTGGACTACGGTCCCGTGGTTTTTCCTTCTCACATCGAGGAGGTTTTCCACGTAAAAAGTGCTTGTCTCATTTAGTTATTGCTTATATTATATCCTGCTATCGTCGAAGTATTTTCCTCATATATTCACACAAGGTCAGGGGAACTTGAACACATATTCCGCTGCGCCGTGTCCCGTTTTCCCCAACAAAGTGGTATCAGAGCTTCTGGTTTCCTTAGAGCTTTGGGTTTGATAACTTCGAGTTATTGTTGCTTGTGTGAATGATGGAGACTATGGTAACAAACATGGGCAGGATGATAAGCTTGAATGGTGCTAATTATCATCTATGGAAGGGAAAGATGGAGGATCTTCTCTTTGTTAAAGAATTCCATCTTTCGGTGTTTCAGGAGAAGAAACCTGATAGCAAGACGGATGATGAATGGAAGCTGCTGCATCGCCAAGTGTGTGGGTTGATAAGGCAGTGGGTAGATGATAATGTGTTGCATCATATTGAGACTGAGATTGATGCTCGTTCTTTGTGGTTGAAGCTGGAGCAGTTATATGCTAGGAAGACCGGAAATAACAAGATGTACATGATCAAGAAGTTGATTGAGCTGAGGTAT